TTGGAAAACATTTTTTATACTAATTAATCAAATTAAGCTTAACCTTTTGTTAGTCTCATCTCCCGTCCGTCTTTCCATTTACCATCTTCAGTCTCCCAGAGACGTGGCTGATGATGTGCAGGGTATGGTAGGGTAGGCGGTGGGTTAAGCAATGGGAAGCGGGGAATTTGGTTGGGTTGCTGTTGTTGTTGTTTCGTAAAGTCAGTGGCGATCTCTGAGCACTGAATGTGAGCTTTGAGTGGCTTGAGCCGCCTGCCGAACTGCATTCTGGAAGTTCCCTTTTAGTGCTGGCTTTTGAGGCATCCCTGTGCTTGCAGCGGTGTTGTTTTTAGTGCCATTCTTTGATGAGGCGCAAATTGCTGGAGCTGTAAGGCAAATTAGTAGAAGTAACACAGACGTTGACAGGCAGACCGAAAGAGAGTGCAGATAAGCTGATAAGGCGCTCACCTGTGCAAACAAGCCACGCTCCCCTGCGCTCCCCTGCGCTCCCTTCTCTCACTCGCTCTCTCTCTCTCTCTCTTCCAGCCGATGCAATTGAACAACTGCAGCAGGCGTATGGCTGCATATGTGTGTGTGTGTGTGTGTTCGTGTGTGCTTGAAAGTTCTGTGCCTGTGGGTCAGGCCTTTTCTCCGTTCGTTTGTTTCGCAAGCAAAAAGCTTTGGATCACTCATTAAGCTCGCTCAATCTTTCTCTCTCTCTCTCTTTCACTCGGATGGTTTCAGCAAACTTTCGCACTCGTTGATTGATCGTCAGCGCAACAGAATGTTCGCCTGGCGCTGGCGCTGAACAATTTGTCAAGCTTCGGATGCGATGCGCGATTGTGGATGGGATCCAAGATACGATCCGTTAACAGCTGAAATTAGCATGATCGTCGGACAATAATGAGGGGCCGGCTTCCATTAATTAAGAGCCTTTTTTTTTTTTCTTATCTCGGTTACTTTGTTTTGGCCACCCCTCTCACCCCTGCTGCCTCGTCAACTTCATTTTTTTTTGCCTATTTAGCATAAGTTCTTTTTTCCCAGCGAACGGACCACTTCGAAGACATTCAACCTGACGCACAGAGAGAGTCTGCTGGTTCGGGGGCATGGTGGGGTATGGCATCCCGGGGCCAGTGCGTGCCACAAATCACAATAAACACACACGCCGCACATTATCGGCAAAGTGCAGAAGCCACCGCCACCGCCACCGGCTGTGCCTGTGCCACGGCACAAGGGGGTGGCTCTCTTACAAATTAAGTTGATAAATAAAATGCCAAAAAGGCAGCTCGCCGCGCGCTCAGCGTGAAAGATGAAAACATAGTCAAGGAGCAGTACCACATCATCGAATGATGATTGGCATCACAGGAGCAGGAGCAGGAGCAGGAGCAGGTCACGTGCCGCCAGTCAAATCGACGAACGCCAGCCAACCGCCGAGCAACAACATCCATCTCTTCGATGGGAATGTATTTTAAGTGCACATAAAACGAACTCTACGAACCATGCAGATACTCCTCAAATTAGAGTCACAGAAAATGAGAAATTGTTACCCGCAAGAAGCGGCTGATTGGGTACCCAAAATGCCCATCATCTGAAAGATCTAATCGAGCTTCCATGCATTTGACCGAATTTGTATAGAAACCAAACCATGCTGGAGTTCTCCTTACGTTTCTTTGAATCAATATGCTGATCACACGGAATTTGCTGTGAAATTTGCATAACTAATGTTTCAATTGCAATGGTGAGTAATCTGAAGAATCTGTAGCTAATATGTCTCACATTTCAGGAGGATAACTTTATGGGCTTTTCCCTGCTCCAACGACCGCCTTTAAACAGGCTCCCTGCGGATACTTTCCCAAATGATTGTCGGAGCTGTTTAGCAAAGCTTGATGAGCAGCCTGTGCTCTGGCAGAGCCCGAAAATTAATTGGCATTTTCGTTTGCGGACAAATCTCTGTGTTCCATCTGTGGAACCTTATCGTGGAAATGCGGCCAAATCAGGCGGCAGCAAGCGGCAAGCGGCAAGCGGCAGGCGGCTAGCGGTGGGGAGGCTTGTCTGTCTGTCTGCCTGTTCTTCCAATGTCCTACCAACCCCCAACAAAAAAAGGGAGCGGCCTTCGACAAAATAATGAGACACAGGTCGTGTGTGTGTTTTGTGGAACTGAAATTGGGTAGCTTTGACTGGTCCTTGAGGACCATCTCTTTTCAGTGGCTGTGTGCTTTGGTGTGGGGTTACGCGATGCTAAAAGGCGCAACGTAAAGATTAAAAACAATTTCGCGCAGGGGGAGCATCTCAATTTGCTGGCTTCTTCGGGCTACGGCGAAGGCGACAGCCCCCCCCCAAGACAGCAAAGAACAGAACGAACCCTAGCAATTCCTAGACCCGCAAACTGCACTCGACGAAGCCTCATAAATACCGAATTAGTTGGTAATTCTATAAGCAACACGCGCCCATTGATGGCGACGACCACGACGACTGATGATGATGATGGAGATGGATTGGCAGGGAACTGGGGAACTCGAACTGCGAGTCGCGTGTCTCTCTCTCTCTCTCTCTCTCTCTCTCTGTCTGTCTGTCCAGATAACAATGGAGGGCACAGCATTTGAGAACTTTGGGAATAGAAATCCGAATAGGAATCCAAGTACAAATCGCAATCGATGTATCTGCCAGATAGAAAGGATTCTATTCTCAGCGATGCTCAATCTGATTTAATGGCACGAGCGGCACGTGCCTCCTGGTGCGACAATTAGCCGCAAATGGCAAATGGCAAATGGCAAATGAATTTCACATTAACATAATTAATAGAAAATAATAATAATCGAAGGGGCGGGTAGTCGGTAGTCGGTAGTCGGGATTAACCTCCTCTAAAGTTAAGGATGGATATCCTTTCCTCCATTGTATTTGTATTTGTGTTTGAGTGGAATAATACGCAGTGGAATAAGCAGCCACTTTTGTGCTGGGGCGTGGCATGTTTTTATGAGCTAAATTAATGGTTTATGATGCTGATGGCTGACTCGACACTGCCCTGCCCAGCCCTGCCTCGATTCGTTTCGTTTCGTTTCGCTTCGCTTCGCGTCGTTGTCGGGGAGTCAGTCGCCTCAACAATTGTTGTCAAGGCACAGACGGTTGAAGTCGAAGGGCTTTTGGGATCAGAGGGACTCGACTCGACTCGACGCGACAAAGCCGCAAGCCACAGAGGCAGACGCGGACGCGTGCCCCAACGAATGCCAATAAATACACAAACAAGAAGGTGCACGAGCAGCAGGGGAAAGAGGCGACGACGCTGCCACAGAAGTTTGCTTTTGGGGTATATTTTGGTAGCTGCTGACGATCGGGTTATTTACTGAGCCGAATTCCAAGGATCTCTTAAGACCACACTCAAGTTTTGAGTAATTTATACCCATCCATCCAATCAGGTGTGTATCCGGGTAGCACACAGAGGAGTTTTTTGGGGCGAGGATTATGCCGAATTCCATGCAATAAAACTCTGAAATATTTTACACATTTTAAAGTTATTTGTTCAAGTCCAGAGAAAAACCATTGCCATTCGACCACTTAGACCGCTGAAGGTTTACGTGATCCATCAAGGAATACACAAGGAAGAGTCAGTTAAGAGTCTATGTCCTGCCGGAAAGGCAGAACAGTTCTGACAGTTCTTAGAGCTCAACTTACACATCATGGACTTTGTTTTGTATTTAGTTTATCCTCCAAACTTGGATCTCCACTGATGATCCACAATCAATCCAATGCAGCTGTCAAATGAATGGAGTTCGCGTGGAACCTGTGGAACCTGTGGAACCTGTGGAACCTGTGGAATCTGGCAAACAAATAAATAAAATGATCATCTCTCTCTCTCTCTTTTTTTCTTTATATATATATATTATTCATCTGATCATATTTTTGTGAACTTTTTACAATTATTTTAGTTTTTCTTTCGGTTTTTATAATTAAAAAAAAAAAAAAGAATTAACCAGTTTGCTTAAACTTTAGCATATAATTATGTATAATATATATATATATATATGTGTGTATATATATATACCGGGATCGGCTGTATATGGATCCGCACTTAAATATTATCAACTAATTTTCGTGTTTACATTTCTTTTCCACCTTTATTTGTGTGTTTTGTTTTTAGCTTTTAGTTTCGTTCTTTTACGTTTTGTTGTTCGTTAGCTTAAAATATTTAACCCGCGGAAAAAAAATGTCCTTAAATTGTAAGTGAATTAAATGCTAAATTTTCTTCGATTTTTCCCTTTGCATATGCATGTGTGTGTGTGTGTGTGTGTGTGTGTTTAGGTGTGTTCTTGTTTTCGTGTTCGTGTGTGTGTTTTTAAAACAAATCTTTAAGCTTAAATTACAATTTAATTGAAATTAAAACTAAAGAAAAAATGTATGAAAAAACCTCTCCATTGAACTAACTTTTGTGTGTGTGGTGTGTGTGTGTGGTGTGTGGCGTGTTTTTGCTTTTTTAAATATTACAAAAGTGTTTATTTATTTCTTTAATATATTTATAGCATAATTTATGAAGAACATTTACACACACTCGTACAGTGTATATATATATCATACACTCAATAGTATATCCATATACATATATAATTCTCAAGATTTTTTAGTTTTTTTGTACATTTTTGTTTTCAAGTTTTAGAGTTATGCATTTTTTGAATTATTTTATAAATATTTACTCTTGTCATTTGAATTCGCTTTTGGATTGTGGATTGTGGCTTGTGTGTGTGTGTGTGTTTTTTTATTTGCAATAAAATTTCCTATATTTAAATCAATAAATGGTTTATGCTCATCCATTCATGCATCGCATTCAGATCTCACTTATGTACTAAATACTTCTCCCACGTGTCTCCTGTCGCGTGGCTTAGATGCTTTTGAAGTCTGAAATGTTAATTCGTTTTTCGTGTTTTTTCTTTTTAGCTGATTTAGGTTCGGTTATATATACTTTATATCCATATATAACCATATACATATATTTATGTAGAACTATCTTTTGTTTTTGCTTTTCTTTTTGCTTTAATTATTCGTTTTATTATGTAAAGACGACAAAATGATGATTTGAACTTGAAACTTGATCATATTTTTCGTGTTTTTGCTTTTTGTTTTTTGTTTTTTTTTGTGTTTTGTTTAGCGTTATTTAAAGAACTTGAAACTTGGAATTAAGGTTTACATATTATGATATGAGAGCTGATCTGTTTCCCCTACCTTTCCCTCACTCGAAAGTGCCACAAATTGGAGTGTATTCTGACACTTGGCTTGGGGATTGAAGTGGATTCCTTCCGCTCGGCTTCTGCTCTATGTATAGGGAATGCGGGGGCTCTCCTCCTACCACACACGTATTGCATCTACCCCCCACATCCCCGAATCGTCTGAGATCCCGCGGGCATACTCTTCGACTATTAACAAATGTTTGTTTCTGTTTCTTCTTGTTTGTTTCTTTTGTTTTTTTTACTTTTTATCACTCATTTACTTCGTTGATCCTGGCGGCTTAGGCTAGATATATATTTATATTTATATTTTTATTTATATTTATATATGTATCGGATGTATCGGGATAACTCTCATTCATTCACCGTCTTTCTATACATGGATCTAGTTTATTTTTGTATTTATATATTTATACTCGTATTTATATTTAGACAAAAAAAAAACACTTTTATTAACTACACAAAAAAAAAAAAAATTATTTTGAAATATATTTAGGATAGAGAGTGAGAGTGAGAGAGAGGGGAAGAGGAACGGGGGGAGTCAGTGTGTGTGTGTGTGTGTGTTAGATATGTATGTGGAGGGATCCTTTAGCCAAAGGAGTGAACCCCCAAATGTGACTCCTGCTCCTGCTCCTGCTCCTGCTGCTGCTGCTGCTGCTGCAAATGATGTGACTGATGATGTTGCTGCTGCTGCTGCTGCTGCTGCTGCTGCTGCTGCTCCATTTGCAATTGTGGCGAGCGTCCGCTGCAACTGCCACTTGCAGCACTCCCACTGCCACTGCCACTGCCACTTGCAGCACTCCCCGTGTTGCTCGTCGTGCTGCTGCTGCCGCAGTACTGGAAGAGTAGATTCTACACCATATTCGCATACTTATCCTGCGGCGACATGTAGTCGAGGCTGTTCTGGGAGAAGGCCTGCGCGGACACAGTGCCGGTGAATGAGGGCGACGGCGACAGGCCAAAGTTGGAGGCCGTATAGCCCGAGTGGCCCATGTTGTAGTTCACCTGGTTCTGGTTGCTGAAGTACTCCATCTGGGAGTAGTAGCTGGGCGCCTGGGCGTAGTTGTTGGGGTACTGCTGGTACTGGTTGTGCCAGAAGTTGTACGAGTCGTGGTTGGACATGTAGGCCGAGTGGGCCGAGTGGTGGGCGGACTGGGCCGATTGCGCGGCGTGTGCGGCCGCTGCTGCCGACTGCGGCGACATGGGGGTGATCGGTGGTGAGGGGGTGGTGATGCTACTGCTGCTGTCCATTGGCGTAATGTTGCCGCCCGGCTGCAGCAGTCGCGGATTGCTGCCCGCCGCCGATCCATAGATGCTGTGATGGTGATGCACCCCGGCGCCAATGTCACCGCCGGCATCCTTCAGCTGATCGTAGGGCGAGCGGAGCACATCCCCGGACACGCCCACACCGACACCGACACCGACGCCGACGCCACCGACACCGCCGCCACCGCCGACGCCCACGCCGAGATTGAGGCCGCCGCCGCCGCCGCCGCCGCCGCCACCGCCGGAGGAACCAACGCCGCCTCCGCCGCCGCCACCGTAGCCGCCCGTCAGGCCGTGCTCCTTCTTGCAGACGATGCTCACGGGGCTGACGGAGGTGGCCGGGGTGGGGAGCAAGGGCGAGGAGTTCTGATGCGCCGCCGTCACGTTCAGGGCGGCCGCTGCTGCTGCGGCGGATAGATGGGCGTGGCTGTGGCTGTGGGAGTTGCTGCCGCCGGTGCTGCTGCTGCTGCTGTTCGGCGTTGATCCGCCGCCCCCATTGTTGTTGTTGTTGTTGCTGTTGTTGTTGCTGCCGCTGCTGTTGTTGTTGTTGTTGTTGCCATTGTTGTTGCCACCGCCCGATCCTCCAGCAGCTGCCGCAGCAGCGGCACTCAGGAAGGAACTGTGATGCGTCTTGATCGACTGAGCCGCTGCCACGGCTGCCGCTGCACTGGCCGCTGCCGCTGCCGAGCTGCTGCTGCCACCGCCACCGCCACCGCCGCCGCTCTGGCTTTGGCTCTGACTCTGCTTCTGGCCGCCGGACTTGCCGCTGCCACTGTTGTTGTTGCCACTGCCACTGCCGCTGCGATTATTGTTGGAGCCACTGCAGCTGGCGCTGCCACCTCCGCCGCCGCTGCCGTTCTTGGAGCTGCTCAAACTGTTCGACTGCTGCTGCTGCTGCAACTGCTGGCGGCACTTGGCGCGTCGATTCTTGAACCAAACCTGCAAAGAGGAAAGAAAAATGAATGCATTTAGTTTATAAAACTCGTGTAGTTCGTTCTGCGAACGTTTTATAATTGAAAATTTCCATAGTTTTTCCCATGCAGCGTGTCGAACGTGTCCCTGCCACAAGTGCTCGGGCCTCAAGTGCTTGCCTTCACTGTGTTTGTTTGTGTTTGTGTTTGTGTGTGTGGCAAGTGGGAAAACGGCTGCATTTTTCCCACATCAATTAGTTTTCCGGACGGGCAATGAATAAATTATATACATAAAAGCAGTAGGGGTGGGCACACACCCACACAACCCACAACAAGTGCAAAAAGTCACGCGCTGCCCCGCCGGCCGAGAGCGAGAGGAAAAGTTACATCAACAGCCGCCGGGCGGCAGCAGTCCCAAAAAATTGACTCGATTATATTGTCACTCCCACTCACACACCCACCCACAACCTCCATCTCCATCTCTCTCGCTCTCGCTCTCGCTCCCACTCACACTCACACTCTAGCTGCAGGAAGAGAGAACAATAAACAGCCCATAAAGCGGGATACTCGAGCGAGAGGAATTCACTTAGCCTTGTTTGTTATGCTTAAGGGGCTGCAAACAATCCGCTAAGTGCACACAGCCAGCAAGTCCCCGCCCCTGGGCTACAGGCTACAGCCACAGACGAGATCCATCCCCACAGTAGAGCGAAAGAGCACGAGCATATTCATCATACACCGAACATCCAACCGTCCAACCGTCCAACCGTCCAACCGTCCAACCTCCAACTCCAACCTTCAACCTCCAACTCAAACCAAAACCAAAGCAAACGCAAAAGCAAAGGCAAACGCAACCGAAGTTTGAAGTCGTTGGCTGATGCCCGCCCCTTTGCAACATGGAAAATGTTATTTCAGTGATTTTTGCTCTGGCATACCCTTAACAGAGAGGGGTACTCGGGTTAACAGTTACGTTTATGGTAGCCAGGAAAAGCAAGCAAAGAACCAACTTCCACTGGAACTTTCCACTGCAAATCTGCATATTTAAACTTAAGAATTGCCTTTAGAGAGCAGAGCAGAGATACACATTGAACTGTGTCATAAAAGAGTTCCCAAAGATATTTCCCAGATCCAAACATAATTTAGGCTCATCTTTCCGGGTTAGAGTATCTAAAAGTTCGACTGCTCTTGCCTCGCGTCACATATTTTGGGGTTGGTGTTGCTTGCTAATGGCTTGTGCTTTGGTAAACAGCAGAATTTATTACCGAACTCCCACTGTCACTACGCTTTTGGAAGGAAGGGGACACCCAGGCCCAAACCCCCGCCTCGGGCCAAAGTTAACACTTGCCACGCGGCGGCTGTGGCCACTCGAGCGTTTCATTGCTGTGTGTGCCACGCCACACACCCCCACTTGAGGCGCACACACAAAAAAAAAAGAGCATTAAACAAGGCGTATCAAATTTCATTATTTGTCAGCAAAGGACACAAGAGAGTGAAGAGTGGAGAGAGTGAGTAAGGGGCCCGCCCGGTGCCGTCGCTGCTGAAAATTCAATTTCAATTTTCAATTCAATTTTGAATTTGTAAAATCTCCTTTTGTGAATTGACTTTGAAATGGGACATCCTCCTGCTGCTGCTGTGCGCTTCGCTTGCCTTCGTTCCGTTCATTCCCCACAGCCTCACAGCTGCCCCCCAGCGAATCGTTTGATATCGTTTAATGAACTGCAAGAGGAGAGCGAGCGAGCGAGCGAGGATGGAAATTCCATAATACTCGTAATATTGATCAAACTAAGCTTGGGAATTTTTGCAAATTTTAGCACAAAATTTATGATTTTCCCATGATTTGCAATGATTAATCGAAAACACACACACACACACACAGACCCACAGACAGGAGCGAAACCCATTCAAGTCTTGTGTCCTTCTAATGAACTTCAAAAAAGAACAAAATCAAATCATCAAATACAGGAACAAAAAAAAAGAAACGAAAATCAGCGAACAAATTTTAGGAACGAGAACTTCAAAGAACTTTTTTTGTATTTTATTTTTAAATTGTTGGCTCGTTTGCGGTTTTACCTGATTTGTAAAGTGGTGGTGAAAGGCAGTGGCTGAGGGGAGTTTGGTTGAATAGCTTTCAAAATTGATTCATTCGATTGAATGGCGCAGGCTGAGCACGGATTTACGGAATGAGAGACACAAAATATGTAAATCTTTTCGAGCCGTCTGCCCATCAATTTATCTATTTATAATTTGAAGTTCATGATCATGAAACTATAGCCTGATCTTTATTTATGCTTGCCATTGATCTATTATTTGATAAACTGACGGTCGAAGACTGAGAATACTGCCAAGAATCTTCCTGAAAGCATATTATTTTCTCTGTAGGACTTTCCTGCAATTCCCATCTATAGTTTTGTTGTTTACCATCAGAGTTCACTAAAATTCTAGCTTTGATGGCAACTTTTGTGCTAAATCAATGTTTGATTCTTTGATGACTTTTGGTTATATTTAAAAATGAAATTACGGCGTGCAGAAATGGGGGAAAATGGTAAATTATGCGCACGGTTTGCATAAATCTCTCACACTTTCTGCCTTCTCGCTCGCCTCATTCACACGTGCGCTGGCAGGAGCAGAGAAGGAGAAAGAGAAAGAGATAGAGATAGAGAGAGAGAGGAGTGTGCGGGGTTAAGGAAAAGAGTGGAAATTGTTAATCCGCAATGGGAAAATTAATTTTATAAAACATCTGTGTGCTGCGTGCAGGACGCGTCGTTGCTGTTGCCCGTTTTCTATACAAAAAGTTTGTCCTACCTAAACCTCACCTACCCCCAACCCACAACACAGCAACCAACCATCATGATACTCTTCCTGTGACACTTCTGCCTTCCCCCCCTCTCGCCACACATCCTATGTGTATATCCTAGTGCATTGCGTATCATGAGAGGCGGCAGTGAACGAGACAAATCCTTTTACACAAAAACCAAAAAAATGTAAAAAAAAGCGAAGCAGAGTTTTTGCTGTTGCTGTTGTTGTTGTTGTTGTTGTTGTTGGAAAACTAAAAACCGGGAGAAAGGGAAAATGAGAAAAAGAGTTGACAAAGTTTAACGCACTCTCCCCTCGTCCCTCTCTTTCTGGGGATTCTCTCGATTGCAACCCCCGACGGGGAAATCGAACAGCTGAAAACGAGGCTCAACATTCCGAGGTGACAATGCGCGGAGGGAGGAGGCAATGGCAGAGGAGGGATGCCCTAAGGGTGCCCCCCTGCCACCATTCCATCCCGTTTACCATTTCCATTTCCAGTCCCATTCCCTGGTTTGCATGTGATTTATGATTGCCAGCAGCAGCAGCAATGGCAGCCATCCCCGTGCCCGTTCCCGTGCCCGTTCCTACCCCCTCTCGATCTGTGGGCACTCCTCGTTTTTCGGGGCGAATGAAAACATTTTTGGGCGTAAATGTTTGCTCTGTTCTGGTGCAGATAAGCCGCCCGTAAAATTATTACGTTATTTGTATTGGTTGCAATCAACGCCCTCTCACTTAGGAGCATGCCACATGCCACATGCCACCCCCAGGGCGAGCAGCAGCAGCAGCAGCGGCTACTGGGCCATAAAGATGCCTATCATTCAATTAATATTTACCAGACCTTAAGCCTCCCCCCTGATTATGACTTCTGACGATGATTCTTGGGCACTGATTTCGTTGCGGAGCGATTCGGGGATTCGTTTGATGCTGTTTCTGATTTTTATGCCGATTTCCTTACTGATTCAGACATTTTCCTACACTCCTTCTCTCTCTCTCTTTCGCTCTCTCTCTCTTCCTTCTTTCGGTAATGATTATTTATGTGTTTTTTTCTTTTTGTTCGCTGTTGCTTCTGGAAAATCCTTCGAAGGTGACCCTTTCATAACAAAAACTAATGAGGCCAACACCCCGATACAGTTGTGGCTTAGAGATTTTTATGACTTCGTTCCTCCAGCGAGGAAGCCCCACACAGACCACATTGAGAGCTCTCAATTACAGCTGCTGCTCACTTTTCTAAGTGTTTCTTCTGTGTATCTTTGATCTTTTTCGACGAGGAAGATCCTGCTCCATCTTTTGTTTGAATTTCCCTGTGGAATATCCCTACAGATATTCGGCATTGGTGTCTATGCTCTGCTCCACTTGGGTGTTTCCCTTACAGAAAACATTCTAGTTTTTCGCTAATTGAGTTGCTTGGCTTCCTGCCGAGCCCCACACAAGCCCCAGCAAAACCAAAAGCCAGACGCCTTCTACAAACATGCATGGGAATCGTGTTTGCTTTTCTCTCTGCTCTGGGCTCCCTCCTTTTCCCTTTTCCCTTTTCCCTTTTCCATTTCCTTTCCGTCTTTCTGTGGCGCTTTTTGGCATTTCCATTCGTGGCTTTGTACGGTTTTTCCTAGTTTCGTGCCGTAATCTGATACTTGAATGCATTGGCATGTTGCGTCAGTGGCAGACGCCATGCACAGTGGTGCAAAGTCGTGCCATGGAACATCAGCTAGAAGCTTCAACCGATGGGAGCAGCCCGCATGTCGCGTTCTTCAAACTATTTTCGCTCTCTGGAAACTTTCTTTATGTGCCACTGTAATGAACAACCAATGCAGCATGGAAAATCTATACAAATTGTGCGTTCCACACCCATGGAATGGAATCCCCCAAACGAACAGACAGATAGAACAGAACAGAACAGAACAGAACAGACGGAGGAGCGGATGAACGGATGGACGGACGTGTGTGGTGTGCATTACGGGAATCAATTGTGTAAGAAACGTCGTGGCATCGGTGTCCAGTGTATGGAGGCAGGGGCAGGGGCAGAAAACATTGGACATTGGACATATGCAAGTTGTCCTTGCTGCAGCAGCAGGGCACGGACCGGCATTGCACGGTACGTGTCGATTTTCACTTCGACCCGAAACGACCACTGCAGGGGCTTCCTCTGTTGTTCTGTCTGTTGCTGCCACACACACACACACACACACACACACACACACAATACATGTATGCCACATAAAAATGCTCTGTTGGCCTGCTTGTGCTTGTGCCTGTCTTCAGTTTTGCTGTTGCTGCATTTTCTACGTCTTTTTGTTGCTGCCCCAAGCCTTAGTGTCTGCTGTTTTTTTTTTCCACTCAGCTACAGCTTTTCTATGCATCTATTACGCTCTTGCCTGTGGTCCTCTCCACCAACCGAGGGGCAATGCTGCATAACGCGATCACTGGCTCTTCTGTGACACCAATTCTGCAGCTTCTTCTCTGCCTAAAGCTGCTTCCTCTCTTCCCCATTTCCTGCTACTGCTCCTCCTCCTCCTTCTGGCCATGCAATGTCACGTCCTCAAATTACATTCTGCACAAAAGCAAAGCAAAAGCAAACGAAAGGAGAGCAAACAAATCGATAGATCAATGCCTTCTCTCGGCTTCCGATTGCAATACTCGATGTGATATTGTGTCGCTTCAATCGATCTTTGGCTTGTTTATACAGGACATTACGAGAGAGATGACAGTTTTTTTTTTTTGCAGCAGCAGCAGCAGCAGCAACAGCAACCGGAAACAGTCGATGATGTCTCTGTTCGATCGTTTCTCTTGGGCCATTTGGCAGTTGTTCGTGGCCCACGGCGCTAGCTGGCCCCGAACAACTGTTTGTTTAGGCCGATCATTGGACATGGGCACGACGACACCTAAACAAACACACAAACACACAAAATACCCGCCGAATGGGTAGCATCCTTAAACAAATTGAGTTGTACGACTCCTGTGTCATCAGCATCATCATGAGGCAGCAGGGCAGCAGTTGGTTGACGCTAAAAATTAGCGCAAATTATGCTCGACTAATGCGTTGAGCAAACCTCCGCTACGCTCGCTCTGCTCTGCTGTGCTCTGCTCTGCTCTCCTGTGCTCTGTCCTGCCCTGGAGGGGTGACTTGTCATACCCCAAATTCCCTTGGCAAATAAACGCGGAATATATCTCATTTTCAGAGGGGGGGGAGCAACGGAAATACAACCAAATAAACCCGAAATATCAGCGTCTATTTGCATTGAAAGTCATCAAATCTGTTCGCTCCATATGTGAATCATCCGAATCATCCCCCCGGCCAGAGCCAATACAGAAACAGATTCCTTGCTGGCAATCTGTTCGCCGGGAGCTGCTGCTGTTTCTAATTTGTTTATTTTATGGATTTCTTTTTGGACTTTTGCCGCAGTGGGGCATGGCGTTTCCTTGCCTAATTAAACCGAATTTCCGGCACCAAGTGTCTATGTACAAGTGTTTTGTTAAAGCTCACACATGTGCGGGTTAAGTGAGTGTAAGATAAAACCAAACCAAACCGAACCAGTTGGCAGGTTGTTCGTTTGTCTTTGTGGTCGGAGTAGCAAAGCGGAAGAGTCAAATGATCCGAAATGTATTGATATTCGCATGCGAATCCTGTGCCTCTGCAGTTTGATTTGATTAGAGTAAAATATGCTTGCTCACCTGTACACGTGACTCGGGCAGATTGATCTTCAGAGCCACCTCCTCGCGCATGAATATATCCGGATATCGGGTCTTGCCGAACAGCGCCTCCAAGACGTCCAACTGGGCGCGTGTGAAGGTGGTGCGCTCCCGACGCTGTTTTCTTGTGTTCACACCTAAAGAAATAGGAGAAAAAGGCAGGCGAACATCATGTGTTAGTTGGTGCACAAGATAAGTGACGGAAAACCAAATGTGCTGAAAGTCTGTTTTGCTCTCTAGTCTGCCATATCGCGTATACGCCACGTGGCACTGCAAACTTTTCCCAGTAATATTTTGTGCGGTGGGCAACCGTTATTTTTGCTCGCTGGGTTGCGTTTTTTGGGCAGTAGCAACCCCCGAAAATGTGCGACACACATAGACACGCAGGCGGCGAGAGCCAACCCCTAAGCGGAACGGTGGATGGAGCGAGGAGCGAGGAGTGAAGCGGAGAAAAAGAAATGAAAGGACCAACCCCCGTGCAGCAGCAGCAGCAGCAGCCGCCCCAAAAATGCTGCTATATATCAGACTGTGTGTGTGTGTGTGTGTGTGTTAAGCCGCAGCATTGTTTGCTTTGTCAGCCTCTCTGGCTCTCTCTGTCACTCTGCAACTTGGACTCGACTTTGGCTTGGGTCTCCTGCCTCCTGCCTCCTGCCTCCTGCTGCCCTCCTCCTCTGGCTGTGCCACTGAAAATACACCCCTGCTATTGTGCCACACACTCTCTCCCTCTGTCTGTCCTTCCCTCTCACTCTCTCACTCACTCACTCACTCACTCACTCACTCCGTATCCCTATCAAAAATTAATGAGTTAGTCATTTTGGTCATGAATTTATAAATTGAATAAAAAACTTCAACTTCAATTCCTGCCTGCGCCTGCCTTCACTTTATTTCCATTTTGCAGCTGCCACATTTCGTTGCTTTTGCTGTTTTCGCTTTCAAAATGGCCGTTGCCCCTTTTCTTTTTGTATTTTTTCGGTTTACAATTAATTGCAATTTGTTGTTTATTTTTTAGCAGATTTTTATATCTACACACATTTATTTTCATCATTTTTACCTTGGCGGAGAGAGAGAGAGATCTGATCTTGTCGTGTCGTTTAATTAACTCCACCTATAAATTTGTTTGGCTCTCTGCCCAGTTTTTATTTTCATTTTTTTGTTTATTGTCTTGTGAAATGCCTTTTACGGTGTGTTGTTTATTTTTGGCTACTTTACGATGTTTCCTGGAAGGTCTCATAGTTTTTTTGTAGTGCTTTGTTCAGGGCTAAATCTATTGAGCATTTCGAAATATTTTTGACTGCATTTTGTGGACCAAATCGAATGAAAGCTACTTCAGTTCCACTGGATATTTGTTCTAATAAATATTAAGTGACTAACAAATATTTCTAGCTTCATTTTCTATCATTTTAATCCTTTCCTTACCCTGCACAGTATCCCCGAACTGAATATAAGACATTGAAGATATTTTCAAGCGTATTCTTTCAGTGGCATTTTTAGAAATGAAAAATGATCCATTAAATGCTTTAAATGCCTTCAACATTTAACACTTTCCCCTCAGAAACACATTCTTTCCTCTCTTTTCTTCTGCAATCTCCTTCTGTCTTTCTGCTTTTGTGGGCCAACTCTTCCATCATGCAATATCTTTTGGCTCCAATCAAAATGTTATACAACAAGTTAAAATTCTGTCAATTACTTTGCTTATGAAACAACAACAAAAAATATATGAAAACCCATAAAGAAAATACGCTCCTCGCAATACACAAAACAAAAATAAAACATTGAAAAAAATCAAAATTGATTACGAAGTATGAAGTATTTTTGGTAATTTTTTTCCATTTTTCTTTGGAGTTTTTATATTTGCTGGGGGACAGCACAGAGTCGAGTCTTTTGTTGGCGTTTTGTAGCCAATTTTTTGTGATTTTTGTCAGGTTTGTTTTTGTGTTGTGTCATTTGCAGCGTCACCGAATGAGCGAATGAGAGGCCAAACGAAACGAAGCGAAACGAAAAACTGGAACTTTAAAAGATAAAAAACTTCGAAGCAGAAAGCCTCTGGAGATGGAGATGGAAACGGAGACTCTGCCCCATTATTCATTTTGACAATTCAACCTGATAATGATGCAATATCGATGAGAACTGACATTGAAAGGCACTGCCAAAAGATACATTTGTATGGCATGTGGAGATGTAGCTCTTGGATACCGCTCAGAACTTTCAGCACATTTAGATGGTTTTTGGCAAGAGTTATTTTATACCAAAATTGTTATGTTCGATATTTACCCCACATACCTTGGGAGAACCCAACGGCCTCGAGACCATGTGGGAGGCCGAAGGGACCCAAAGATGGCATCGGCATGCCCGGCGGCAGTGGTCCATGCGGCACCGAATGATGCGGATGCGGGCCGCCATAGCTGTGCGGATGGGGGCCCAAATCGCCAGATTTGAGGAAACCCGCCGCCATCAGGGCTTCTGTTGAGTGCAGCGCCACGTTGAAGCTGTTGTGTGTCCGCTCGCCACGTGCTGCTGCTATCTCCCCGAAATCAATCTTGAGACCGATCTAAGAGACGTTCACGGTGTAAGAAACTCCTGCTGCTCCTTCCTCCCTTTACTGCCTTCCAGCCGTTATCCTGCCAAAGCGGGATGTGGGATCCTCAATAGATCCGTCGCTGGTTGCTTCAGTGTGGGCTTGAATGTATCTGCAAGTACAAAAGAATCGAAATGAGATGCTTAGATAACCGAACGATAACTCTAACCGAATACGAGCTACATTTATCGACATGAATATTTACTTACAGTATTTCAAAATTATCTGTTTTGAAACTGGGCAAAAAATCTTGGAAAATATTTCTACTCTGCCCACGATAAGTGTTTTGGTTGCTTGCCTATGGGTTAAGCTCTTGTCACGAGTTCCAATTACACTCTAAGATCGGCAGAGTGCGAAGCGGAGACTTATAAAGAGAAACCAAAACCAAAACCAAAATCTATCTGTCTCTGTCGTGGTGGCCTAATCCCTGAGGTTTGCCGCCCTATTATGTAAAAACTTCTAATCTCTACGTTTTCGAAGATTACCCAACGAGAACGCCCGCAAACGAGCCGACGACTAGTCGCCGACGATGAACCGAGCGAACTTCAAGACGAACTTCCTTCGGGGGGCTTATCCTTGCGGTTTAAGATCTTTGATCTGCGCTTAGCCGCAGGATTATTTCAGACACTTACTAAAACTGGTACTACGACTCAATAGACTGCTGGGATCTGCTGATCCGCCGCTGCCAGGACACACACATGACAGGACAATGGGCAATGGGCAATGGACACGGCATGGCTTAAGAGCAGCAGAGCGGCAGCGAGAAAGAGACAGCCCAGAGCCTGGATTAAAACTCTTTTGTCTCGGCTTTCCTCTCTCGCTCACTCTCTCCGTTTTCGTGCGAAAAAAATTAGCACTATCCCAGAGAACGAGAAAGAGAGACGGACACAAATGGCCCGGAGGTTAAGAGGGGCAAAAGCAATTGCGGAATTAGCACGAACACCTCTCGCTCTCTGTGGAACGTTTTGGCTTTTGTTTTGCGAAATTGAAAACCCAAAAATCAGCCAAAACTATTTGTCACTTCCCTAAAGAGCGACACGGAGATCGATCCCTATATGCCACGTATCTGTGCATGCATATATTATTTATCCCACATCCACACATCTCATTGTGGTGCTGTGTAAAATTTGTTTTGTTTTGTCATGTCGCTTTCATGGCTGACTGAATATCGCATGAAGGATGAAATGTGCAGCCCGCAAAAACCACTCCACACCACTCCAGTGGCGAAAAAAAACACACACACAGAGAAGAGAAACCAAAACCGAAAACCTCGACCCTGATATTGCACCCGAAACCCCCCGAAAGGGCAGACAGACGGACGGACGGACGGACGAACGGACGGACAGTCCTGTTGCCCAAATTACATGCTCACGCGCACACGCAAATTAATAACGCATCTGTCTTCAATTCAGGAAGAGAGAGAGAGAGAGAGAGACACACAGAGAGAGAGAGAGAGAGAGAAGTTACCGTTAGCATGGTACAAAATGCAGCGGACACCAAAACAAAGCTGTAATCGACGAATGATCGATTAAATGGCATCAAATCAAATCAAAATTAATTACTTAATTGCTGACTAAGTGCACATATTCATTCATGACTCTAGGCTTGATAATTATGGAGTTCTACAGGACATCAACTCTAGCTCTAGAAACATTTTTATGTTCTTTGCATTTCCAAATGCTTGTGCTCCACCCTGCAAAATGTTGCTCAAGCTTAATTGTCTTATATTTTTGGATGGGAACTTTAAGTTCCCATAGAAACCATTAACAAAATTAACGGAAAAAAAGAACTCTCGTCGAACTCTCAGCATCTGTCAAAACCGAATATTGTCGGAGCCCCAGAAATGTGTCAACTTTTGTTTTTGTTTTTTTGTGGATTGGAAACTGCGACTCAGTGACGGTAGAGACGGGGCTCTATGGCTCTATGGCTCTATGGCTCTACGTGATTTTCTAGTAATTTGCCGCTGGCACTGGGTCTCTCGCTCGCTGTGTGTGTGTTGCTCTCTGTCTCCCTCCCTCGCTGATTATGAAAAATCATGGTAAATGGCAAAAAGAGCAAAAAAAAAAAAAGGAGAAGAAGGAAGGCCCCGCTGGCTGATCCATTGTGATGGATTCGGCTGGTCTCCTGGGGGGGGGGCAAAATCATTTCAACTGGATATATATCACGTACTGCGACTGCGACTGCGACACTCATTCATAATATATTCCATTTTCGGCAATTCCGAATGATGATTCTGTAGTTCACGGATCACTTTCGGTTTCAGTTTCAGTTTCCGGGCACGACTCTTCTTCGATTTGATCTCATGCTCGTACTCTCGTACGTCTGATGTTTTCCTCCCGCGATACTCACGTAATTACGGTCAAAATAATATTTGTGCACAAGAGTTTTGAAGGTAAACAGCCGCGAGGAAAACAAAACATAAAACACACACAAAAATATAGCCAAGATATCCAGCTCCAAATTGAAGATGGCAGCTACCGTAAGCGCAAGAGATCACTGACTGGATCGTTGGATTGTTGGATCGTTTGAGTCCATCCCGCACATCGAACACACACACTCTCTGAAGAACGGTAGTGTTTTTGTTTCTGATGCTGGCCGGCCCTGGGAAAGTCGTCTCAGACAGAAAAGAAATCGCCAGCCACTTGGCTACTGTTCAGTTCATTTGGGCCATGGGAAGATTTCATCTCCATCTTCGAAGCATACGATTTTCGGATGATTAATGGACCACAACATCACCCATCCACCAGCACACTTTGCATAACTTTTGGCTAGCTTCATTTCTCTCTGACTAATGTATGTAGTTGGTGGATCTGCAGAGCGTACGAGAGGCTTACGCTTATAACTCTGTTAGTCAGTCGCGAGAGATCAACTTTGGGGCCGGCCACTGTGTGTGCAGCTGTCAGGAGTGCTAACCTGTCAGTCGCTGTGGCTCTTACTGTTGTGGTAGCAGCTACATACAGCCAGCAGGCTGCTCTGTTGTGGTTGTTGTAGTCAGAGCTATTAGTTGCCTTAACAAGCTCTATAACAACTTAATATGCCCGGGCACATTGCACATATTCTACACTCAACTGCAGCGCTTTTGTTTTTCTGCATGACACACGCTTGAGGCATTGTGGCTCTGAAATATATTTCACGGAGTTCTTAGCTCAATTTATTAATGCAGCCGGAAGCCATTGCCAAGGTTATGGAATGCCTCTGTGAACATTGAGACTTTACTCAAGCTACTGACAATAGTAAATGAATTTGAATCGAGAAGAAAAGAAAATGAACACAGAAACCAACAATTGAAATATGCCAAGAGACATAAACATAGTCCAATTATTTAGCCACTTCTTTAACATTTTATTGGCCATCTCTATGACATTTTGTGTACGACCAAACCAATTTTGGGCTCTTTGCTGTTGAGTGTAACCAAAAGAGGGGCAGAGGCATGAAGCAGATGAAAAATGCATTTCTCAGGCTCATTTACATTGAGCCACAGCTACTGGAATATGGAATACACTCGTAGATACTTGCACCGGCATGGTAGAAGGAACTGCAAACTGCAGACACTACTACCAAACGGCAAACAACTCCAAAGTTCAGACACGGACTCTGGTCTAGCATAATAAGCCTCTCTGTCTGTCTTTCTGCCTGTTTTGTGGCTCTGTCTCTGTCTCTGTCTCTGTCTGAAAATAATGCAACTTAATAAATGCAACAAAGAATGAGGCAGCAACAGCAGTCACGTCCCGAAAAACAGGTAATGGGAATGGAGGAGCTCTCTCGGAATGGTGGAGGATGGCTTGGACGATGGGGAGACCATTTCTACGCAAATGCATTTTGACATTTAAATTTGCAATTTTCGCATAAAATTATATTTATTTTGTATGTTGTTGTTGTTGTTGCTGCTGGTGAAAATTGCAACCTTGCTGCTGCTGCTGCTGCTGCGAGGATCACGACGATGTGATGGTGATGTTGATGTTGATGTGGATTCCAGCTACTGACTTTGACGTTGACGTTGCCTGAAGTTTAATTAAGCAACGTGCCAAATAATTGAAAAAGTGTGAAGATTTGACAAGTTTAAGACGCATTAAAAACATATATATATGGCCTAGAAATCAACTGACACTACTCGTAGATACTACAGATACACTAGTACATGTACATGTATCTCGGTATCTGGTATCTGCTGCTGCTGCTGCTGCTCTGGCGACAAGTTTATTTCCAGCCCGCACGGCAGGCAAACGCTTGGTAGTTATTTTAATTAGTTTTTTTTGTTGTATTTGTGGGAATGTACTGCTGAATGTATTTGCTGCTTATCTCGTGGCAAATTACTTATTATTTACTTAATCAAATTGACACTTGAGCAGCGCTTGCCAGTGATTAATAGATGCTAGCAGGAGATTGCTCCATCAAAGCGAATGATTGCGAATGGGAGGGAGGGAAACCAGCCCGGCCGATTTTCCATTTGCATGGCAATTGAAAAGGAAAAGAAAAAGGAAAGACAGGCAGTCCACCGATTGGAGGAGACCGACCAAAGTCCGATTGCATGCACGATGCATGAAAGTTGCCACAACTGCCCAAAAGAAGGAGCACGCGAGGAGGCATTTCCACTTGCAGTTGCCTGAATAATTGCAAAATAAATTAAAACCCAGCTTGGCCAACAAGTCGCTTGAGAGATTGACAATTAAACATTGCTTATGGGCGGTTATGCGACTCGAATCAGTCATTGAGTTACTTCTAGTTCTTGGAAAACATCTCCGATTTTGTATCATGTTGGAACCACAATAAAATTCACTTTCTTTCACTCCATTCATGGGCGCATATCTCCGGGGTGATCGCTGACTTGAGCTCCCAATAAACGTAGCATAAAATTGTTTATAATTCAAGAAATGTTTGGCTGGGCTATTACACCACTTGTCTTTCTCCGTTACGCCCAATTCCATTCACAGATACAACAAAATTGAAATGGACAAAAATTGAATGAATTACCAGCCCAGCCAGAGTGTTGTTTCGCCTTCAGAGTGTTGTACAAATGATTGCATCATTGAAAACAGAAACAGAAACAGAAACAGAAACAGATACAGATACAGCGAGCCCCAAAACAGCAACAGAAATAAATCAAATAATAGACTAATAGAGTAAAGAGCTCTCGGCGATCAGTGATCGGTGGTCGCTGTAGACTCTAGACTGTGGACTGGTCACAACAACACTGAAAAACCTTATTATTTGACGCATTGTCAATGTGATCTTGATATGAAATGAAACTGGAAATGGAACCAGGCACCAGGCACCAGCCAGCAGGCACCAGCCAGCAGGCGGGCATCACATCTCAGTGTGTCTGAGTGTCTCTGAGTGATTTCTGTTTAAATGGCTTTGTCAACGAAATTTGAGAAGCAACAACTACGCGTACGCGTAATGAGCAAAGAGTGAAGAGTGAAGAGAGATAAAAATTAATAATACAAATAATTGGGTACAAAAATCAAGAAAAAACGAATAACGAAACGAGACTCCAATCCGTACGTTTCGTGTCTATAAGAAACGCAACGAAACGAAAACCTCACTTAAGGCGAGGCGAGGCAAGGCAAAAGATTGACAAAAGATGACGACCACAAATACAAATACAGAAACAGAAACAGAAACAGAAAGAAAAAAAGAACCCGATCAGGTAGGTTGCCAAGAGAGTGTTGTGTGTGGGAGTCTGAAGACTGGGGCGTGCTACGGGTATGGGCTATGGTGGTGCCCCACAATGGAAGCTGTTCGTTGCGGTTCCGTTTGCGGATCGCAGTTCGTGTCGCTGTGGGGATATGAGGGATAGATAAGCTATCAGAGGTGTCGCGACGCGATCTCTCTCTCTCTCTCTCTCTCTGGGGCTCCAACGACTTCTTTTAATTCACAATTCCAACCCTCTCCATCCAGGCGGATGTTGTGAATGAAATGAAGTTGATCGAAATTGGCACTGGGGGGAGATTGTGATGTATCTAAGCCTAGGAGTCGCCGCCCTGCCTCAAGACAGTTGCGTGGGTGCGAAGAGCAAGCCCAGAGATCCATCGAGATCCCCAAACTCCACTTCCACATCCCAAAAATTAACTTGCATATTAATTTTGTGTGTGTTTCGTACAAGTATATGCAAATGAATAATACAGAAGAACAGATGGAAGAGAGGAGTCAACGTTTTATTCAGATATTTTAATTTATAGCCGCCGCTTTGAAATTAGAGAAAGACTCAGATACAAGATACAGCAGCAGCAGCAGCAGCAGCAGAGGGCCACAAAATATGTGTGAATAATGTGACCTGAACGGGTCCGCGCCCGTCGCTCCATCGGTCCATCGGACCATCGATGCTGCTGCTGCTGCTGCTTGGCTACCTCTATTGTATCTAATATTAGACCTCTTTTTTAGGGTCTTATTGTTGTAGTATTTTTGTGCTCATATGTACATATTATACATTTATATTCGTTATATTTGGTATCGATATTTGGTTGAATGTTTTGCCTAATTAACGGCCAAGGAAGGCGGCCTTAAAATGCCCATTAAAATTATGAAAATCATAACGAATTTTAGATTCAGATTCAGATTCAGAGACTTGGATACCGATTTGGTCTTGCATTTTCTCACATTATGATCTCAACATTAGTCATAGCTGGAATTTCCTGTGAAAAGAACTTCAACAGAAGACAAAGAGTGGAAGAAGAGGCGACTTGAGCCTGAAACTATGGAGACCATTTAGTGAGACATAAAAGATCACAACTTGAAAGACATTGTGCTAAACAAGGGCAAGTAAGAGAAACTACAAGATGGTCATAGAAAGAGACTTCTTTTAGTGGACCAATGCCCCCTGACTACTTAAGGCTATGTGTATGTGCATGTACAATGTTTATGGATCGAATAGTGTTAGTCCTAGGTAATATAATCCTTGCTTCATTCTTGCCGCATTCCACGTTCCGTGAGAGTTCAGTTTCATGGATTATATGGATTATACAACGTTGTCAGATATGGAACACTCACCGAAAAAAAAACACAAACAAAACGATCACTGATCGATCGATCGTAGGCGAATCGTTTTGGATCGTTTGGATCGTATAATATATTCCAATTTAGGATCCAGTTACTTTGCGGTATATTCGGGTTTATGCTATGTGTAGTTGTTTGCGCTGCAGTTGTTTATTGTTTGAGGTTTGAGGAGGCACTGGTTACACCATAAAAAAACATATCCTACACACAGGACACGGACACACACACACGATCGAATGTTGAACTGATCTGAACTGAGCGATCGATCGGTTAACGGTTACAGTTGTACAGATATGTATATCTTTCGTATGTTGTTATTGAAGAAGTATCTTGTATCTCTGGATCTCTGGATCTCTGTATCTTTCGTTGTGTTTCACGCACTTTCGTAGGGCAGAATGAAATGTTATTTTGTGGCTTCTCTTTATTTTGTTTGTTTGTTTGTTTGTTTGTTTTGGCGACGGCGAACCTTTTTGTTGTTGCTGACTGGCTGATTGCTGCTGCCGCTACGCACGGCGAGAGAGGGCAAAAGCGCGGCGAAAACTAACGGTGAACGATTGAACGCTGAACGGTGGAACGTTGAACGGTGCTCAGTGGAACGCTGAACCAGAGAGAGACGGTGTGTGTGAGCGAGCGACGAACGCACTGACAACCCGAGCGGCACGAATGTATCTTTGGAACTGATTTTCGTGACACCTTCCAGCGGGCAAACGGTGGCAGAGCCAGAGCCAGAGCACCGTAGCAGAGCAGAGCAGAGCAGCGACGCAGCAGGCGGCGGTAGCGGCAGCGGTAGCAAAAGTCGTTCGACCAGTCCGTCCCCTCCACAGCGAAACGAGCACATAGAAACACGAGGCTTCGTGTGTGTTCGTGCAGCCAACGAACACCACCAGCAGCCCAGCACCTCGTGGGCCAGAGCGAGAGCGCAACACTTTTAGCAATGGCTGACGCTGCGCGCGGCTCAATCCGAGCGAGGCGTGCAAGCGAGATGGCCATACGCATGGATGCGATGTGGGCTAAAGGGAAACACACAGCACTGCTTGCCTTGCCTTGCCGACTGCTGCTGTGTCGCCCGTAACCGTAGCCGGAACACACACCCGCTAGCTGTCCCGCTCTGGCACTGACGCAAGCGAGCAGCAAGTGCAAGCGGGATGACTGCTTGGAGCCCCCCATTCGAGCAGCTGTATTTACCTATGTGTTGTTGCTATCTTCTCTGCTGCTGCCTGCCTGTCTCTCTGTGTGTGTTTTTGTGTGTGGTTGAGAGTGGAACCACACCCCAAATAAATAAACGCTGCCGCCTCTTGCTTGCTCCCCTCGCACCGCCCAGCAGCCCCACTGCGACCCATGCCTGGCTGGCAGTCGGTTCAACAACTTTGTTTCCACACAAAAAACAGCAGCAACAACAGAAAGAACAAAAAAGAAGCACAAAAGTTGTTCCTTTTGGTAGTTTTGCGCGCGCCAGCAATGAAATTTTAATGAAAATGACAGCAGAACCCAAAACACCGCCAGAGAGCGAGAGGAAAGCATAAGACAGCGAACAAATTTGTTACCAAAAGCAAGCAAACCAGCAAGAAGAAGACCACAAGAAATAGACGCCTTAAGAATAGCTGCGGGGTGGGTAGCAGAGTGGTTAGTTGGGCTGGGCAGGGGCAGGGGCAGGCAAAGGACGTTGGTCAAAAATTGCCATGCAGAGAACGCTCCGCGCAGCCACAAAAATAATAAAACACACACAAACAACGGACGGACGGGCCGGCCCCAACACCCACCCACACCCTCTTGATGTAATGGGCGGTCCACGGCCACGGCCCAGGTCCAGCTCCGCTCTATTGTGCAATTATCATTCACTCGAGCAAACAGACGAGCAACTTGAAACTCCAATTTAACTCGATTTGATTTCAATAATGATGCATCATGCACTCGAAAAGGGTTTTAGGCACACGAATCCTTCACAATAAAGGAGCAAGCAGTAAGGAGTTGAAAGTGGGTTGGGCTTGTACGATAGTTATGGTAATGAGGATAATGCTGGAGAGAGTGGATTCGACTTGAGATCTAAGTCTGTTTTAATGATGAGTTTTACTTGCAAAGTGAACCAAGCAAATACTAAAGTATCTTCCGCTTCCACTTGATTGTTGATGTGAATCCTGCAATGCAGCTCAATCATGAATGATAGCAAAGCGGACCAACCAAGAACTCGCTCATCTTTTTTTTTTGTATTTTTTCTTTTTATTTGAAGCTGACGCAGGGAAAAAAAACGTTTAGCGAAAAAAACCTTATCAAATTTTTATGACAATTTGAAAATTGCTGACGACAGTTGTTTCTCCCTCCCGCTGGGGAGGTGTGGCTATTTGTGTGAAAATGTTGCACAAATATTTTATGGATTTTTCTTGTTCAAACTTTGGCGTTTTTTTGCCTCTCGCAATTTTCTCAATTTACTTTGCTGCCTGGCAAATGAAATTGTTGCGGCTAATTGATGTGTAGATGCAACATGGGGCAATTACCCTCCTTCAAGAGAGGTGGCGGCGAACACAGTTATCGCGGCTTAGCATACAGTTTGGGGCTTCGCTTTCCACTTGTAAAACAAAAATGACACACGAAAAAAAAATGTGAAAATTTATTGGCAACTTTAAAAAGTTTTTAAAGAAGTGGGTGGCCCGTGGGGGTTGATAAAAATGCTGTAAATGGAAAAATAAATTCAATGTTTAACAAAGTAAAATGCCAGTGGATGTGTTTTTGCATACATTTTTAATTAAGCATAGAAACCAAAGTGAAGTAAAACAAATTCAAACACTTTGATGCTTTGATTCAGTAGAATAAACAAATTTTCATTAAATTTATTTTCTTCAAAAGCAATTACAGAGATATCATATTTTAGAGCACTAGTTCTCTGTGTATATTTATTTAAATGTTTATGCCGCTTTCTGACCTACTTCTAGTAAAGAGAACCGCTTAAAAAATGGCAGAGATAACGCCTAAGACGCACCAGCATCAGGATTCGAAGTGGCAGACTTCTTCTGCAGTCGATTCCTGTGTTTCCATTGAATCATAGATACGATATAGTCATCTGTTTTTAAAAGATTTGGCTGCATATTTTTGCTCTTCTCTTGTGCTTTCATCTATGAGTTCTTCTGAGCCTGCAAATATCTTGCAAAAATTCGCATAATATAAAATACAAAATCTCGTAATGCCGTAGGAAAAGGCCCAAAAATATGATTGGATAATGAAAATTCTTAAACAAACTAGCACTTGCATACACTTGCACATATGTACACACACACACACATATGTGGATTTGTGGTTTCCCTTTTTTTGCAGTATTTTTTGTTTGTTCGAAAAGTTCGCCGCCATTTGCCCCGAACATTTTTCATAGGCGACAGTTTTGATTGCTTTGTGTGTGGATCGTGTGGCTGTGTGTGGTGAGGGAGGCTTGCGGGGGTGTGTGCAGTGGCAGTCCCAGGGACAGCTTGTGGCATCCACCAGCTCTACACACTCGACACTCCAACACTCTGCTGCTGCTGCCGCTGCCGCTGCCGCTGCTGCTGCTGCTGTGCATGTGGGTGTTCGGTTCGGTTCTGTTCGGTTCGGTGTGGGTTTCAGGTTCAGGTTTTCTCTCTCTCAGGCGCAGGAGACTTTGCTTGGGTTTCATTTCATTTTATGTGATTCGTGCTTCGTGGCTCTTTTTTTACTATTTTTTTTGTTTGCTTGCTGTTTGTAGGTGCTGTGCTGCTGGCTGATTAACGACAATTCGTTTGGCTGATTTTTTATTGCCTTGCAACTGGCAGTGGCACATTCATTAGGCCGCACTGTCGTAGGCGCGTGGCATGCTGCCATGCCGCATGGGGCACAAGGCTCTGGCACTCTGGTACTCATACTCGACTCTTCTATCCGTGGGCCAGTAAATTTCATTAGCCTCTGTGAGCCGTTGTCTTTTTTGTCTTCAACATTGCTGCTGGCAGGGGGGGGGGGGTTGTGTGTGTTGTGTGTGTGTGGTGTGTGTGTGTGGGTGGTGGGAGCTCCCACTCCACGAACTGTGGGCGTGGCATAAATAGCCTGATTAAGCTGCCAGCAGTCGTAGCCAGGCAACGGCAAACGGCTCCATCAAAAGTCCTCATCGCGAGAGGGAAAGAGCGAGATTAGTAGGGTTTATACTACAATACAGACACATATGTACATATCTATATACATATACATATACATATAAATATAAATATATATGTGCACATATTCATAATGATATTGCGAAAGCAAATAATCCGTGCACATGTTCTTCACGACATCCACTCAAGAAACAAAAATAGAGTGCGCTTCAGATTAAAAAGAAAATGTTGCACATACTCGTAGCACGAGGACTACGCGTATAACCAACCACAAGCCATGCCACACACAATCAGCTGAATGTTATGAATACTTTCACCATGGATACTTTAATCTTCCCTTCCCTTCCCTTCCTTCCTTCCCAAAATGAAATCTCTGCCTGAATCCGTTCAACAGAATTCGATTTTAGAAATTAGAATCTTCTTTTTTTTTCCATGCTAATATTTTATCCTTCATTTGTAAACAGAATCAAAGGATTGCCCAGACCTCTTAGCCATTGAAATCTCAACATAAAATATTTTCAAATAGCTGCATAATTATTCTACAAATTTGTAATACATTTTTGATTAGTTCTTCTCCCAAGTGATAGATTTTTCACATCAAAATTGAATGAAGAAATATCAATGTGAAAGCGCACAAAGTGCGAGTGGAGCATATTAATCACGAACCACACAGCGAACAATACATCAAACATTCTAATCCCGAAATGAAACCGGTTTAAATCAATATAAATGTCAAGAGATCAAGAGATGAGAGCTGCAGGAGCGAAGGCAAATCAGAACGAGCAAAGAGAAGCCAAACAGAAGCCAAAACAAAAAAAAACCAAAAACCGAAGAAAAACAGAAGCCCAAAAGCCGTGCCAGAAGAATTATTGGAATAACTGATGGAATTAAAGGGGCAGTAAAGGTGGCAGAAAAGTGGCTGGCGAAATGGATTGGATTGGATTGGATTGGATGAAAGGATGGCAAGTGCCATGGGTTGGTAGGGAGAATTCAGATCGAGAGCAGATCAGGGTTCTTGGGTACGCATTTGGGTTCCCATTTCTTTCTTTCATTAAAACGAGCCTCTGTTTAGGCCCAAAAAAGGATCAATGCAGCTGGTGGGAAGGGGAGGAATCGGTAGGAGAGCCAGCCCAGCGGGATGGCTGAGAGGCACAGCCATAGGCACAGGCACAGAGAGACCACCGTTGTGCGTGGCTTGATGATGATAATGGTTTACTTTTATACTTTTTGATGGTTTTATGATGCGGTTAAGCGCTCGAAACCGCAAAGTGGCCGCGCCGCACCGCAACGCACCGCAGCTCGGCGCGCACACGACGCACAAGCGGCAAAAAGGACGACCAAGACCAGGCCAGGACTAGAGCAGGCAAAAGGACTTTCGCGTAAGCTGCACAAGTTTTGGGTAATGCCTCGACTTGAGTACCAGTACCTGCCTCCAGCCAGAGCAGGACAGGCAGGCTGGCTGGCAGGTCCTTTGCAGTGGCCCTCTGCTCGCCTTGCGTGCGACATGGCTAAAGGATTAACCGCATGCCGTTGCCGGGACTTGGGTCTTGGGACACGGACATGAACGTGGACGCGGACGTGGACGCGGACAGCGCTGCGG